ATGTCATTGTTATTCTTGTGGTTATCTGTCACACAGTGGATGCAAGAGATGTCTTTATTAAATAAGCAGCAACTGTGTCAGGCCCTCTGGTAGTTGTTTAACATGCATTATCCTAATTCATAGGTAAAGAAAATGAATGCTCAAAGAAGTTACTTGTTCAAGGAACACAGCGAGTAAGTGATCAAGCCAGGATCACAAACAAGGATTTCCTAAATCAAAAGTTCATATTCTAATGCCCACATTCCTACTCACACTTTTCAGATGCGGAACCTGGAGGCTCAGAGATGTGACAGAAGTTCACCAAGCAAAGTAATCACTGTTAGAGTGAGACTTTTCTCTACTCCAGCCCAGTGTTGCTGCGATATGATAATTAGAAACGACAGCCGCCCCCTCAGGGTGCTGGATGGGGTGTCTGCCCCTCCCACCACAGAGACCCACTGTGAATGGGGGTCCCAGCAGCTCCAGGTACTGTGGGCAGCAGATAAAAAGAGGGGGGAAGAAGGAAACCACATCTTCATAAAAGAAAAACAGGATGCTTGAGTTCAGAGAACGACTTCTCAATAAAGTTTTCAAAGAAAATTCCAGTCACTGAAGACAAACACTTGGAAGAGTTTCCAAATGTCTGTCAGATCTCCGTCAGATCTCTGTCTCCCTGTTGGTCTCACTCCCGTCTCCTGGCCCCCGCCCTGTCCCTCTTTGTTTTGGAAATAGAGGAAAGCCAGCAATGTGGATCCCAAAGCAGTTTACACTGAAGCAGATGGTGCATCCGATTAGCATCAGACTAAAAAGATACATTATTTACAGATTAGGTTCTCACAGGGACAAATCTGTTCCAAAGGCACAGAAGGTTTGGTTTTCTCGCAGACTCCCCTCAAGAGTTTTCTTGGGGCATACCTATTTATCCTTTCTCCCATCATCACCACCAGGCTAGTCTGGAAGCAACAGGAACTTTGTCTCCGTCATTTCCCAGTTTTCCTCCCACTGAATCCTGAAGTCACTCGCACAGGGCGAGCCCCTCCCTGAAAGACCTTGGATGCTGGTGACCCCTGAGGCCCTCACACCCCAGGATAACAGGTCACATTATGCCACTGAGGCTGCACAACAACCCAGTGAGGCTCACTTTGGTTATTCCCACTTTACAGATGAGGAAATTGAGGCTTGAAAGGAAAGGCTTGAAATTTGCTCAGGGTCACAGGTCAAATAAATGTTGAGGCAAATGGAGGCTAGTTGCCTCCATGAAAGAAGGAAGATTTAAAAAGTGTGTGTGTATACACTTGCACATATTTTAAAATAGCCCCAAGGAGCTTCTGAGATGGCGCTAGTGGAAAAGAATCTGCCTGCCAATGCAGAAGACTCGGATCTAATCCCTGGGTTGGGAAAATCCCCTGGAGAAGGGCATGGCAACCCACTCCAGTATTCTTGCCTGGGAAATCCCGTGGACAGTGGACCCTGGCAGGTTACAGTCCATGGGGTCGTAAAGAGTCAGACACGACTGAGCGACTGAGCACACAGCGAGCAAAGCGTCACAGAGGACGGCTGCTCGGCGTCCCAGACCACGTAACTGCACTGGGGCCCGCTGCAGGGCGGACAGCGAGGCGACAGACCACAGACATCTCAGCCGACCCGTGACTCCAGGTTCATACCACCCAGGCCCTGTGCAGAAACACTCTAGGGAAATGAGAAAAAAAACTGGAAAAACCATTAAAGCCAGGATAGGAAGTGCATACACATCAAGTCCTTATATTCATTCAGTCCTATGTTTCTCAGACCCTACAGAAAAACATACGGCTTTCAGGGGAACAAGGAAACGTAACTTAGGGTTTCGTGACTATCAACTATGAAGGGATGCCCTTATTGCAAAGAATCTGATGGTTAGAAGTTGGAAAAATAAAAGGAGAGGCAGAAATAATATCCACAACACCCGTAATAACAGTGCTCACCTAGTATGAGATATTACATTGCTTTGGTAAGCATTTTAGATGCACTGTTGGTCTCGTCAGTCCACATAACAATCTTCTAAGATATTGCTATCATTTTTCCCATTTTGCAGATAAGTTTACTGAGGAGCAGAGAGGTTAAGTAAATTTCCCACGGTCACCCAGTTGATAAGGGGCTGAACCAGGAATCCAACCCAAGAACCAGAGCCCTTAACCAGTAAACCTTCGCCCTCTTTTCCATAGGATCTTCCTGAAGAGAAGCCAATAGGATAGTCTGCCAACATTTTGGAAAGTGCTTAAAAGCCTCCTGGCTCCTTGTATTGGTGTCAATACAAGTGTTCAAGGCTGTGAGTACAAGCTAACGTCACCGACAACACTCCCGGCAGTCTACACATCTGGCAGTTAAATAAGTGCAGGCTCAAGGGAAACTGTGTCCCTGAGGCACAGTGCACCTTCCAGGGGGAACAACAGGAGGGATTTCATTCTAGTTCAGACCTAGCCAAGGAATCACACTCACCTTATTTCAAGGCATAAAGGAGACATTCACCCAAGAGCCACAGACACCCAGTGAGTGTGTGCATATGAAATCAGAGTGTTTTCATTTGGAACCTGAGGACTTAAAGAGCAGCCTGAGCTGAAGTTTCCCTTGGGGTTATTGTTTTAATTTATGCTTACTTTTTAAATTGAAGGACAACTGATTTACAATCAACTATACTTAGTTGTATTATACCTGTATTAGTTCAGGTGTACATAAAATGATTCAGTTCTATATTATAGATATATCTATATATATTCTTTTTCAGATTATTTTTAAACTATTAATTGATTTATGTGTGTATTTGTTTGGCTGTGCCAGGTCTTAGTTGCGGCACGTAGAATCTTTAGTTGAGGTGTGCAATCTCTTAGTAGTGGCATGTGGGATCCAGTTCCCCGAGCAGAGAGTGAACCAGGCCCTGCATTGGGAGTGTGCAGTATCAGCCACTGGACGACCAGGGAAATCCCTCTGTAAGAGGGTTCACTTAGCAAATAAACAGTGGGAGAGGAGTTACCCTTAAGCTGTGCATAACACCACATTGCTTCCACACCTACTCCAAGGAGGGACTGACGGATCATACATTGCAGCCTCTTTGAGATGGCTCCCAACTGGGCTCTGTGCTCACCTACTTCCAGTCTGTGTGCAGGTAAAGGTGAGGGTTGTGCGTTGCTTTTGTGACTGTGTCCAACCCTGGGGCGGGCCTTCTGTCGCTCAGTGTGAACGAGCGGGTTTTACTGACTCAAACGCAGGGACCCAGCAGGACTGGTGGGCAGCAGCTGTCCAGCCTGCCCTGTGGTTACGCTGATCCTCAGGGGTCACCACCAGCCCAGGGGATGCGTCCCCAGTAAAGGGATCCGTCTGACTCCCAGCAGGCTGGAGCTGACACCATACGCCCAAACCAGGACAGCGCTGCCGCCCCATCTGGCCTGGACGCTGAGCGGGGCGCTGACCACAGCAGCTCCGGACAGTGAACAGGAGCCGAGCAGCTCTGCTCCCTGCTGCCTGGGCAGCACCATCTGGAGCGAGAGTCGCCCTCGTCTCGCCCCTCGGACGGGACTCGATTCACCTCTGCAGTGACACCTGAGAGCCAAGAAGGGGCTGCCGGAAGGGGCAGGCATATTTCAATGCTTTCAGCGTGAGGGCAATTCATTCTGACGTGGAAATCAGAAGGTGAAACCTGAGAAAGGCTCACTTGAAAAAAAACAAAACAAAACAGTAATACAAGACATATAACTAGTCTTAGCAAGAATAGTTTCCAATCACCTACACAAAGCACCTTGCACAAACAAACCACGTCACACATCATCTAAATGGTCAGCAAGCTCTAAGCATAAATAAACATCACAAGATCATCCTTCTTCCCATGCCCTTCTCCTACTCTTTATGGGATGGGAATCAGGCAGCAATTCTGGATGCGCCATGTTAGCCAGGCATTAGGGGGGGAAAGTCTTTACAATGAAGTGGTTCCTGAGTGTTTCTGTGATTACCCAGCAATTTACATAAATATTCAAGCCTCACTCTGAATAAATCCCAGATAGGTGATGACTGATCCTCTGCTTTTTAAGACTCCTTGTTCCTTGCACCGTTTGCTTCTCATTGTATCACTGACACCAGCATGAGCAGAAAGGAATTTCAAACTGGAAAGCCTTGAGATGAGGGTACAGAGAATAGAACTGACCCTCAAAAGTCATCTTTTTCAATCTCACAAAAAGGAGTAGTGTCAGGAAATCATGAATATTGACATATAAGCCCTATGTACTCATAGCTGGAGGATGTGGGGCCATCCAGTTCATCCCCTCAAAAGCAGAGAGCCCTGAGGCTGGGGGTGCTGGCTGGGGACTGATGGTCACCAGAGATCAGTTTGGGTGAGTTCTGACTACGACCGCTGCACAAGTCCACTGTCCTTCCCCGCTCTCCAGGAAACACCATTACATGGAGAAAGCAACGTCCAGAGTAGCTGTGTAACACGCTCCTGTGAGAGTAATGACATGAGACCAGGAGACTCTACGGTATATATGTGTTTGCTTCCTTATACAGTGAGTGCCCCTGGAAGCAAACACAACAGGAGACCAGAGGCACTGGTGCCTCTGTGAAGGGACTGGAAATTTACCTACTTCCTCTCCTGTAGAGTAAAAACCTCACAGCGAAAGAGCTCCAGATTTGACTTCCTAGTGTTCCAGAGGTTTAGACTCCGTGCTTCCAATGCAGGGGCCGGGGGTTTAATCCCTGGATGGAAAACTAAGATCCCACATGCCACATGGCACAGCCAAATTGAAAACAAAAATTACATGAAAATGACTTCAGATCTAGCCTCTTATTAAACCTTCTCAGGAAAAACAAATAGCACAGCCTATGTTTTCTTTAAATTAGTTTCAATTCTGATATTTAAGTTGTCAGCTGCTTTCTACTCTCCCCCTTCATTCAGACTAAGGGAGTTCTTAGAGAAGAAACATTTGGTAACTGGGCAGCATGTGATGGGCACGTGGGGGCTCAGGCACCCCCCACCAGCCAAGATGTTTCACACTCACCTTGTTTTTTAAAGAGATTGCTCTGGACTATCTCATTCATGGACTGGACTTTCTGCTTCTGCAGCTTCACGGGGGGGATGCACGTGTAGAATTCATAGAGGAGTTGGCTAAGGGCAGGAAAAACAGGAGCACGGAGAAGTCGTCAAACCAAGCCCTGCCACCTCCTGACCAGTCCTCCCCAGCCTGCCGGCTGTGGAAGCAGAAACAGCACACACCTTGCTCCCTTCACCACCCCTCCCCCTGCCCCGTGCGTGATATGCCTTCAGTAAATATGCATAGTTGGTCTTGATGTTGAATACTAATACCAACAAGCACTCAAAAAGGTGTGAAAATCGGAAAATAATATCAAGAACCTCAACCTCAGGTACATGTTTTGCACTTGACATCTATTGTGCCATGGAAACATCACAACTTTATGAGGCAGATCCAATGCTTATCTCAATTTTACAAGTGGGAAAAGTAAGGTTTAAAAAGATTAACTTTTCCAATGTTACACAGTTAAGGGATCAAAGAAACAAGGGTTTAAAACCAGGTTCTAATTTCATTTCCATACCATTTTATTTTTCTAATGTTTTATACTTGGTAATGTTTTAGATACCTTAAAAAGGTCCTAATTTAAAAAAAAAAAAACTGTGAAAAGTTGTAGATTAGAACAAGTTTGGAATATGAAAAAGAAGACAGCTCTTTCCAAATAAAGTGAAAAATGCCACTGAAACAAAATTATAACCCCTGTCAGCTTTCCAAAATAAGCTCATTGTGTTCATTTCTTTCAAATCCTCATTAAGCATCTATTTAATATGTGACAGGCAATGTGCAGGACAGAGGGGATAGAATAGAAACAGACTTGGTCCCCGTTGGCATGGAACTTACATTCTAATGAAGGTCAATGTACAACACAAAAGCAAGCAAATCGGTACAGGGCCAGATATGCAATGAAATGAACAGGGGGTTGTAAAGGTGCAGGGGTTAAGGGAAGAATTTAATTTATTCACAGTGTTCAGAGGTAGCTTCCCCAAGAGGACAGCATTGAGCTTGAGACCAGAAGAATGAGAAGCCAGCAGAAATCTTCATGTGAACAGTGGAAAAGCTGATGAGAGCTGAATAAAGTCTGGAAAGCACTGAATAGAGTCATGACAATGTTAATGTCTTAGTTTCGGTAACTTTACTGTAGTTGTCTAAATGTGAATAAAGGGAGCTTAGTGAGAAGTATGTAGGAATTCTCCATATACTATCTCTGCAGCTCTTTTCTAAATCTAAAGGTATTCCAATATAAATGGTTTTTAGGGACTTCCCTGGCAGTCCAGAGGTTAAGACTGTGCCTTCCAGGGCAGGGAGTGTGAGTTCAACTCCTGGTTAGGGAGATAAGACCCCACATGCCACACAGCATGGCCAAAAAATTTGTTTTAATTTTCTATATGGTATCTTGCAACTTAAGTGAATTTGGGAAAAGGAAGAAGAGGGTATATCTGGCTCAGATGCCCCCAAATGGCATAAGTATATTCAGATAATGTGCTCCTCTCATGAAAGGAATAGGGTGAAGGAGGAAAAAGTTAAAGGGAGCCCATCTCATTATGCCATTACGTATGCTTCGGTGGTCCTCTATTTGTAACCACAGGGCTTACAGGGCAAAGACTGGGACCCCAAAAACCTTCAAGCCCAGGTGAAAGGGAGACATTTCCACTAAACGTAAGTTTTTTAACCTACATGTTTCATATTCTGTATCACTGTGCATGCACGCATACTCAGTCGTGTCTGACTCTTTACCACCCATGGACTGGAGCCCCCCAGGCTCCTCTGTCCATGAGGTTTCTCAGGCAAGAATACTGGAGTAGGGTGCCATTTCCTCCTCCAGGAGATCTTCATGACCCAGGGATCAAATCCACGTCTCCTATGTCTCCTTCATTGCAGGCAGACTCTTTTAAGCCACCAAGGATTGATATCAATAATACAATTCTTTATCATTGGTATCAATCAAAAAAAGATGTTTATTTTACAGCTAGTTTTCCCCAAATCTGACACAAACGAATGAAAATACGACAATCCCACACTGAAGTCCCTGGAAGAAGCTCCGCCCACCTGCTCCGTCTGTCCCCATGCTGAGTGCCGTCTGGAATGCCCCACAAGAACCCTCCTCCCTCTCTGCATCCCTGGCTTGGCCACAGAGTCCAGGAAAGTACAGCGTCAGCTCTCACCTGAGTAACTTTGCATCAAAGACAGTTTCCACATCATGGAGGACAGATGGGATGTACTTCAAAGCTGCCACCTAGGTAGAAAGTAAAATAAACATGAGTTATGTCCACGGCCAATGGCTCTGCCAACGATTCTGCCTGGTGGCGAGGACGCTTTGCAACAGGACACAGATCAAGGCAGAAGGAGCCTACACCCTGGGCACTGCCACAGTGACTCAGACTCTACATGTGGACTGAAACCTTAGATGCATGAGTTTCTCCTATCTTCAAGGGCCTAGAAATGGACAGCAGAACAATCATAGGTTTGGAAGTTATACACACTTACAGTCAGATCCTGGTTCTACTCCTTAGTAGCCATGTGACTTTGGACAAAACACTTAACCTCCCCGATTTCTCATTTTTCTTGTCTATAAAATATAGGAAATAATGCCTATTTTGCAGGATTGCAAAGGTTAAAAATAATATAAATGAGGCATCCAGCAGAGAGCCAGGCACATTTTGGATGCTGTGTAAAGGGTAACTTCTATCATCATTGAAAGACAGTGTGCTTGAGTTGTACTGTTGGTGGTAAGGATGGCATGGACTGAGTTCTATTTCTAATTTCTCTCCTTGGCCAATTTGAGAACAATTGTGGGCACATTTCTGAATCTACTAGCTGCATTAGGAAAACTGGGCATTATGGTGGATGGACTTTTTCCCACTGTGTGAGGTAACTGATGCATCCAGAGGTGGGAACACATCCAGGGCCTCGTAAAACAGCACCATTTGCTAAACAACAGAGTAGACTGTAATTTCTATAAAAAGAGTTGTAAGTCACCTATTTGGAAAAGAACGTTTAAAAATCTGGTAGGTGTATGCACTTTATATTTTCTTTCTTTTCTTTTTCTTTTTCTGCATATTCTAAATGTTCTGTAGTCAACAAATGTCATCCTTTAGGGCTTCCCTGGTGACTCAGTGGTAAAGAATCCGCCTGCCAATGTAGGAGACACGCGTTCGATCCCCCGGTCAGAAGGTGCCTTGGAGAAGGAAATGGCAACACACTCCAGTGTTCTTGCCTGGGAAATGCCCATGGACAGAGGAGCCTGGGGGCCTACAGTCCATGTGGCCACAAAGAGTCAGACAGGCCTAAGCGACTAATACAGAAACAATCACTGTTTTACAATTAAACCAAAATTAAAACAGTGAAAATTATTTTTTTAAATAAACTCTTCCTCCTAGCCATATACAGTTGAGTTTCTTAGTGAACATGGATAACCATTATGACTATGCTACACTGAATGCTCTCAGAGAAGACACCATGCTGTTAGATAATTTTATTAAACCCTATTTCCTCCCACAAGGGACACACTATTTTCATAGATCAGGAACCTCTAGGGCATCAAGATTTAATACCTAGGTCACAAAGTTAGCAAGTGGGAGAGTCAGACAGGCTGCTTACAGAGCCACTCCTTGTAACCCTCAAGCTACACGCCCACCTCACTCAAATAGCAACTCTCTCTCTCCTTGCCTTCATGCTTATTCTTCTTGTTATTTATGAATTTTGCATGTCAGACTTATAATGGTTGTTATTTTAAATTTCAGATAAGTATTAGTAGGAATATTATCCCTGAAGCCCTGTATCTCCATCTCTGCCCCAATCCCTACTGCTCAGCTCAGAAGAGGTCACTGTCAATGTTGCAATGAGTCCTGATCACTTTCTATGCATGAACATGTGTGTGTCGTATGTGTTGCATGTATGTGCCTGTGCATGTGTGTGTGTGTGCACAGTTCTATAACTTGCTTTTTGCAGCTAACCATGTACCACCAGGATTTTTGCCATCATTTCATAGAGTGCACTCTTCATTTCTCACCACTGCATAACAAGACTCATGTGGGTACGCCAAGTTCTCCGTACTAATGGACTCCATGCTGTCTTGGGCTTCCCTAGTAGCTTAGACGGTAAAGAATCTGCCTGCAATGCAGGAAGATCCAGATTCAATACCTGGGTAGGGAAGATCCCCTGGAGAAGGAAGTGGCAACCCACTCCAGTATTCTTGCCTGGAGAATTCTATGGACAGCGGAGCCTGGTGGGCTACAATCCATGGGGTTGCAAAAAGTCACACACGACTGAGTGACTAACACTTTCACTGTCACACTTTCCCTGCTATCTGTAGTTTCTCTTTATCATAAAATAAATGACAAGAAAATATTAAACACATACATTTGTGTGTCTCTGAGAATCCCAATGGGATGGATGCACTGTTGAAGAGGAGCTAGTGCATCAGATGTATGTACACACATGCAAATGTACACACAAATGTATATACATATATGTTTCAGGAGAATCTGCCATATTACCTTAGAAAGAAGCAGTAATCAATTTCCTTAAACTTGCTAACACTAGTATGCAAATCTGTTTAATTTTGTCACCCTGATATATAATTTGCAGCTTGTTAACTGCAACTCTTTGGGTCTAGTGCAGGCGGGCACCTTTTCTATATTTATTGAACAACTCTACTTACTATTGGCACAGTGGTAGAGAATCCACCTGTCAATGGAGAAGAAACAAGAGATGCAGGTTTGATCCCTGGTCTGGGAAGATCCCCTAGAGAAGGAAATGGCAACTCCCTCCAGTATTATTGCCTGGAAAATTCCATGGGCAGAGGAGTCTGGAAGGCTGCAGTCCATGGGGTTGGAAACAGTCGGACTTACTGAATGAGCACATATGCAAATATTTACTATCTACTTGCTTGTATTCTTTCTCCATTTTTCTTTTGGGTGATTTTTTTTCTTACTGGTGTGGAATTCTTTATATATCATTAATATTAACCCCTTTGCAGTAACATATTTTGTAAGAATTTTCTTTTACTTCCCCTGTAGTTGACTGTTACTTTCTTTTAGCTTTGTTTATCATATCTTTCATTGCACAGAAGGATTTTAATTTGTATGTTGTCAGATGCATCAGACCTTTTCTTTACAGTTATTGCATTTTATGTCTGAAGATATATTCTTTATTCTTTCAAATCAAGATGACAAGAGATAACAAGGTTCCAGAGCAAATGTTTCTAAAACTAGGCTCTATTGGGACACCCTTGTCCTATAGGATGGTGTTAGGTATTCTGTGGGAGGGAAAGGATTTGCAATCAAACAATTAGGGGAAAGTTTGGTTTAAGTGAAGATAAGCCAGTAAGGTGCATTTTTTTAGTTTTGACACTTTTTTTTTTTTTGGCAGAACTTCTCTGAATTTTAATATGTTAAGTTGCACTATGACATTCCTCCAGGGAATTATCATATAGAGTGCCTTCCAGTCTAGTTGGTCAGACCATCTGTATCAGGAAACATCAAGATACAGCAAAAGCAGATGCCTGCAGGGCTGGGCAAGCAGCAGACAGAAGTGAAAGAAGAGCAGGGGCCAGTGGGAAGTGATCAGGTGTGCGGAACCCACACTCTAAAGAATGAGGCATTCTTGCTCTCTTGTTTTAACACTGCTAGCCAAATCAAACACAACTGCGGGCTGCACTTCTCCCATGGGCTGCCCTTTACAATCTCCCCATCCTAAAGAGATGCCACATGCTGAGGCACATGCCCTGATGAAGGCTGGTCTGAGCATTCAAACAAAGTGTTCCTTCCTTTCCTCTTAGGCTGAGGAACATAGAACGTAGTTCCTTCCTTTACTCGAGCCCGCAGGGACCTGAGGTAGGGGGGTTCCCAGTGCTCCGCCCAGCACCTGCAAGCACCTAGGGCCGTCTCCTCACGCCCCAAGCCTCAGCATTTTCATGTGGGGCAAGTGAGAGAAGGGAACGATGGCAAATCAAGCATACCGCGCACCTACTGTGAAGCCCAGCGCACAGCGGGCCTCCAAAAGCTTGTGTGCTCTATCTCCCACTCCTCACTTCTCTGCCACCAGCCAGCTCACTACCCAGTGCCTGGACAAAGAGTACTGTGGGCCCATCGATTAAGAACATAACTAAGACCAAAGCGAGGGAACAAAAACAGAAATGAAATCCGCAGCAAGTCAGGGAAAGCCAGGACTCCGGTGTCTGTAGCAAGTTGCTGGCTTTCAAGCGCTGCAGGTCATCCCAGGGCTCTGGCATGATTCTCGAGAGCAGCAGGCACCAGGCATGTGCACGGACACTCATGCTTTGGCGCTTCAGCTGTGAGTGAGGAGCAGCTGGACGGGGACGAGGGTTACTTCGGAAGGAGCCCATCTTCCCAGCCTCCCAGCCCTGGGCTAGTGATAAAGTAAAACAAACCGAGTGCTTCACATCCTGAGCCTCCAAGGGTGTTATCACCTCAGCTGCAGGGTATTAAACTTCCATCTGACCCAGGCGGCCTCACAGAGAAGTGGCAGGCCTGTGGTTTTCTTTCCCAACGGGGATGGAAGTTTGCCAAGGCCGCTGTCCTAGTCCTCGGGGGGCCTGCCTACAGCCCTCGCCCTCACACGGCCCCGACACACCTGAGCGTGTGACAGCAGGTGAGCTCAGCAGGCGCGACCACCACGCACCCCGGGGAGGCAGAGGGACTCAGCACGAGTCCCAGCGGGTCTCCATCTGCTGCAAGTCTCTAAGGCCTGGGAACGAGAAACAGCCTGGCTTTCTAGACCCGTTGGCCTCCTGGGACCCAGGTTACTCCCATGTTGTTAATATTTTTCCTCTCGTTAATAGTACTACCACACATAAACCACTACTGTTGTATTATTGCTTTCATCTCACAGTGGAAAAACATGAAAGTGTGAGTCACTCAGTCATGTCTGACTCTTGGCAACCCCATGGAGTGGAGCCCACCAGGCTCCTCTGTCCTTGGAATTCTCCAGGTAAGAATACTGGAGTGAGTAGCCATTCTCTTCTCCAGGGGATCTTCCCGACCCAGAGACGGAACTCAGATCTCCCACACTGCAGGCGGACTCTTTGCCGTCTGACCTACCAGGGAAGCCCTATCTTACAGGATATCTCCCCATATCATACATAATATTTAAGAAAAACACAGCAGAGGTGTTCTTATGCATAGATGTGTGCATATGTATACATGTGTATGAATATATATTAATCCAAGTAGCAAACCATTCGTGGAAACTTTATCCATGCATGATCTCACT